TATGTGCCCAAAGATTCTCTTGTGAGGACTATTATAACTCTTCAGTACTCATCTACACACCAAGCTTTATTTGGAACTTTCTAAGGAAAGATGTTTGCCTCAAACATAGCACTTACTTACCCACTTATCTACTTACACGAACTTTAGCCTGGGTGTTATTGTGGCTTGATTATAAAATGGCACTCTCAGGCTCATGTTTTAAACATCTATGCCTGAGTTGGTAGCACTGTTTTTGGAGAATCTATAAACTTTCAGGGAACTGTGGCATCTCTAAAAGAATAAGTTCCCTTTGTGTATGTCCTTCAGTATATATTGTCCCTGGTCAGTTCCTGGATCACTTTCTCTGTTTCTTAATCTATTGTGATGTGATCAGCTGTTCTCCAACACAGTCTCCTGACACATGTTCTTAATCACATGGGGCCAAGCATTTATGAGCTTTCCCTTAGCCCATTTTTTTACTCAATCAAAACTATAGAAAAGTTATTGCATCCAATGTAGATATTCCAATACAAAATTATTTTGAATTACTCCCAAAATCAATACACCTAAATTTTTTTCTAGAAAACTTCTCAAGGACTCTGCAAATACTTCATGTCATTCCTCTCCCCATAAAAATTTCAGTGAGATTCAGTCTATAAATTTCTTTGTCTGAGTTTTAGATCTGCTTGTGATCTGCTTCCTATGTACATACATTGTTTTGTTGACATCTTATTCAACCAAATATATACCTCTGTTCTCGAAATAAGCCCCCAATGTTTACACTTCTCTGCACCTGATAAAATTGTAGCAAGATTTATTACCCTCCTCTAATATTTCTTTGTAATCCAGTCTTTGGTTATGGTGAGGTTAACTGTACCTCTTACCACTTGAAGTTTCTATAGTTAACTCCTTATAGCTCTTATTTCACTTTTATTTGTAAATTTTTATCTGCTAACTGATTATAACTTTGATAAGGGTTGAGATTATAGTCTGTTAAACAATCTATCTCTCTACCCTGTTACACAACAAGTAACATCCATTACACATAGAAAGAGGGCTGGAGATACAGCTCGGTTGCTAGAGTGCTTGTCTAAAATATATGAATCCCTGTGTGTGATCTCCAGTGTCCACATAAACTGCATGTGGTCATACATGTCTGGCTTAAAAGGATTTGGGAATCAGAAGTTCAGAGTTATTTTGGCTTACACAGAAATTCAAGACTAGCTTTGGTTATGCAGGACTTGGTTTTCAGAGAAAATAAAACAAGAATACAAATTAAAAAATCCAGTGTTCCAACCATCAAAGATAACTTCCCAAGTTAACACAGCTATTTCAATGAATTATGCATCACTGAATTTAGAAGCCTTTTTCAAATATTTCCATTATACCAATTATCTTCTTTAGTTCATTCTAATTAGATAATAAAGTGTCTCAGTTTAAACATGTTTGTATTTTTATTATAATAAGCCATTTGGTGATAATGCTATTTTTATCACCATAGAATAGCATAAAAACTTATTAGAGGACAAAAATAGCATTTGTTCTGATTTTTAATTCCATTCTCCAAACAATTCTTAAATTAAGAACATAGGGTATGTTTTGTAGGTTTTCTTTAATGTCTACATGAGAATAACAGTTTCCCAGCCTCTGACTTTCTTCCCTGCCCTGTGATTCTGAAAAGCAGTTATTAGAGTAAATAACTGAGGAACTTGGCCCATTACACTTCAACTGATTTAACTCTGAAGAAACATAGCTATTTTAACAGTTGAAAATGGATACATTTTTTGTGAATAGTGAATTCCCTACTGGAAACCAAAGATTCTAGCTCTGATGAAGTATGTGCTACGATGTAGAAAATTATTTTGAGTGGTGTGGCAAAATTTCCTCAAAAAGTCAACTGATTTCAATCCACTCTGATTTTAAAATTGCCAAGGCCATGTCTACTTCATAAAAAGTAAATGAGGAAGAGAAGGAGCAGCACTGTTACAACTTTGTCAAAGCTGAAAATCATTACTGGAGGCAACAGAGGACAAACAGACCTGGATTTTCTACCAATCTCACCTGTGTAATTATGAACATTGATTTCACCAGACTTATGTGTAAAGAAAGTTGACAACAAGGTGATGTTTATCATTTCTGAGCCACAAGGATAGATGACTCAATAATATAGTGTATATTTTATAAGAAAAAGTAGAACTATCCTGAAATATTAAAGGGATTAAATGATGTAGGTGGTAAATAGAACTTCAGTACCTTATTTAATTTAGAGCCCTGAGGCTATATTTTGCAAATCTATCATGCAGTCTACAGATACCCTTTATTTAATTTATAACAGCTTAAATTATTTAATCAGGACTGTCTCCTCATGCAATCACTTTTAGATAGGTGTAATATTTTGAAGAATACAAAAGTTGCTTTTGAAGTGGGTGTGATAATGCACCCCTGTAATTCAAGGAGACTGTGACTAAAGGCAGGGAAATGATGAGGTCAGCCTGAGGTACATACTGAAATGCTGCCACAGAAAACAATAGCCAGAATATAGCTTAGAAGTAAAACCCTTTTTCTAGCATGCACAAAGTCTTCAGTTAATTCTCCAATAGCCAAAAATATAAATGTTACTTTTCACAAGAACTAATTTTAAAGAAGCAAATAAAAATATATTTAGGCTCCTAATATAACATCTAATCATAACTTACCTTATAAGTAGATTTTTCAATGTATGAAACAAAGTATAATCAAGCAAGTTATAAATATGGTAATGTAGATTGATTAAATGTGTGATTTCTGGAGCCATGCTACTTTTATTGAAATTCTAGTACTTAATATTGCCTGTATGACTTTCACCTATTAAATTGAGCTTCTTTATATAACATTACTTGTGAGTATAATGGGGTTATTCTGGTACCTTTCTTATGAACTTGTTTTAAGTATTGACTTAGAAAATGCTATATAAGCTGCTTGAAATAGAAAACTCATAATATGTGTTATTATCTCATCATCATCAGTAACATCATCATTAAAGGAAAGCAAAAATGACAAGCTTAAAGAATTTAAAATTATTTTGTCTATATGGAACCAATATGGAAAAATAAGTTTAAAGTATAAAAATGATCTTCCTTTGTTTATAGAAATATTAGAAATAAAACAGAGAGTAAGGATTATCTAAGTCGTGTTTACACACAACCTCATGTCGTTTCCCACACAAGGAAACTGAACTTCCTAGAAGAGACAAGAGTTACCCAATATCACAAATTGTCCAGACCTATAACACGGTTCAAACCCAAGTAGCCCGACTCCAAGCCCAGGCACCTTTCTATTGTACCATGATAACAAAACACCTCATCTGTGCCTTACTTAATTATCAGGAGTTAATTATCAGACTGTGGTTCAAAAGCTGTGTGAATCAAAATATCACTGCCCATTGAATTTAATGATTTCAGTATAAAGGCTCTCTCTATATATTCGCATATACATATACATATGTGTGTGATTTATACAAAATTAAACACTTAGAAAGACTGCTAAAAAAAGAAACCTTATTACTGTGGTGACCTTTAAATTATGACATGCTCTTCATTGATTCATTCACAAACAATTTCTCACTTCTTATGAAACAGGAAATGACTGTTTGCAGGATCAATAAAAAGATAATTATAATCTAACAACATTTTATGCATGTGACTGTCATGATGAAACCGTTTACTTTGTATAATTAATATGCTATTAAAATATCTCACTAATTTTTTTTAAAAAAGAATAGAAGCATTATGTTCATATAGAATAACTTCTCTTTTTTCCCCCATGATCTTTTTACCAGATCCATTAGCACATGGTTGTATTTGGAATCATTTTTTGAAGTGAAGAATATGTACCTTTTTGCTGTACAGTCTGTAACCTTCTGCATTTACCTGAACAATTTTTAGCTTCTAGCAGGAAATGCAGGAACCTATTCAGAGGTGCCTGAAAATACTGAATCTGTGTTATTGAAGTTGACACAAAAGAAGGGCAAGATGAAAATGTAACAAGTTGAAGACAAAATGATAAAAAAAGTGCAAAAGTGTCTAGAACAGTCTCCAGTTTGAGCAAGTGTTTTAAAAACACATGTTATACTTCCACTGTAGCTTGGCTTCTGATAAACTTGTCAGTGTTTACCTTGTATACCTGTGATAATTTTAATTATCCCTTTCTTAGTAAAACATTTCTGTTTGTGGGAAAATATCCTGGAGGCACGTCAATCCATTGTAAATTATAGGGAGGTGTGAGGAGCTTGAGTAATGCTATCAACTTTGCAATCTGGAGATGGGGATGGAGCTTAGTGGTAAGCACTTGGGTAACATGTGAGGTCTCAGGTTGGATCCCCAGTACCTGTACACAATAATGAGGCAATGCATATTAACTAACTTGGGGAGAAAGATAAACAATGGTATAGCATAGTCAAAAGGGTAATCATTTTTGTCTAATCACTATGAATACCACACCGCTTCACTTCTGTGAATGATTTTGAAGCAGTAGTGCTGAGTCCAGAATTAAAGCTGGTACCAGAACAGATTAAGAGGGATGGAGCCAACTTCAAAGAATCTAAAAGTAACACTCATGTTTTCAAAGGTAGTTTCCTCTATTAGTTTGATAATTTTTATTTGTTTTTGCCCAACAAGTTTTTTATCTTATTCACATAAGACATAAAATACCATTGTGGTATATATTTGTATGGTTGTCAAAGAAGAAAAAATAAAAGCTAACAATACAAGACTGGGCTGCTATAAAAGTGCTCTAGGATTTATTTTATTGTTAGGTTACTTTAAAAAGTTGGCCAATTAATTCAGCAAATGTACCCTTTGGAAAGATAGACACCATCAAAGAAAGCTATATGCAGTGCTCTTATTTGTGACTAATAAGATTATTGTAAAAATATAAAGGACACGTTATCCTTTAAATTGTATGAGCTAATAATCCCAGTGACAGGAGACTTGCAAAGCACAGTGCTCTGAAACAATTTCTGAATGTCTTGTTTCTCTCAACAGGAGCTCCATTCTCCAACTCTGAAAATCTCTACTTGCGCGCCAAGCACTCTACATATAACACAAAATGCCGAACAGGTAAACAAAGTTGTATGCTACATTAGATTTGTTTTTCTCCTTTTTGTGTAAGTCATGTTCATATGTGAGAACATTCTTTAGATCTTTATAGAACTACACATTCACAAAGGAAGAGAATTTTCTCATATGAAAATAAGTCCTGCTCAGGAAAAGAATGTGCAGCAAGTGCCATGAATTACATTTTTACTTCCATTACTCTCTCTCATTCAAACATTCAGTTTAAGCGTAGTTTAATTTTAGCTGAGAATCTTCTGGTGAGTGTGGCTATTTTAAGGGTTCTTGGTTTTAGTGCAAATAAAACATCTGCATTTTGGGTTGACTGAGGAACTGCCTTTGCAAGTGGTTATACTTAAAAATTTATATTTAGAGGTAGACCCTTACAGGACAAGAGATTATGCTCATTATGAGTGTATGATTTCAATAACAAACCGACTGTAATTATCTTTCACCTTTATGACCTAATAATACTAGTTATTGGATTAGGTTTTAATGTAAGTATTGTATATCTAAAGGAGATCTGTAATAAAAAAGATTTATTTAACTGATACATGCAAAAAAGTCTAAGAAATAAAGCATATTAAAGCTGTAGTCACACGGGACAGGAGCACACAATTGAGGGTGTAAACAAGAGAGAAGATGCTATTTGAAGTTTCTGGCCAACACATAGTATTTTGCTGTTGTTAAGCTCTGATTCCTAGTTTGGTTGAATAGTTTGAGGTTTATTAACCACTTTCTTTTCCCTCATATGTTTATTGAGAATTTTGCATATAATGTGTTTTGATCAAATCTGCTTTCTATTCCTCATCCATTGATTCATATCCTTCCCTCACAACACCCTTTTCTCCAGCCTTCATGAGCTTTTATCAATTTTTCAGAGTTCTCTTGGTGCTTCCTGCATAGGTATGGCTGTTGGAGCCTTTGTTAGAGAATGAGAGCTTCTCAGGGACACATCCCTGACAAAATCTTACTTCCCATCCCCTAGTAGCTATCAGTTTCCAGATGCTCCCTTAGGTAGGGGTGGGACTTCATGATCTCCCTCAACTGTGTTGGTATTTTGACTGGTTTGATCTTGGACAGGTCTTATACATGCAATCACAGTCACTGTGAATTCATGTATGCAATGGTTTTAGATCCAGCAAATAAGGTTTTGCTAGGGATAGTCTTGATTTCTGGCTCTTATAATCTTCCCAACTTCCCATGCTTTCGTTCATAATCTCTGAGCATTATTTTATTTAATTGTATATGTATTTGATTACTTCACTACTAATTTACAGATCTTGTTCTCATTAATGTAAAACAAGCCTCTTATATTAATAATACTGAGCTTTTCTATAAAACATTTCCAGTTTTTCTTTATTCTAGTGTTTTTTTTCTTTTTCTGTCTTTCTTTCTTCCCTTTTTATTGAACTTCTGAGACAAGTCTAGGTATGTACACCAGGCTAATCTGCAAAGCCAGATACCCTTGTTTCAGCCTCCTAAGTACTTTAATTACAGGCCTGCAGCAATACATACAGGGTTTCTGTCTCTTTTGTCTCTTTTAATATAATCTGTGGCTCTCTACTTCCAACACGATGAATATTTTAAGGGGTATGCTACAATGCCCAGATAAAGCCAAAATTTTAATTGACTAACATTAAGCAGTATTTTGTTCTAATTCTGCAGGGATGGATACAGCAAAACAAAATACTTTATAAAAAAAATCTCACCATGCATATTTTAAAATTTATAAAGAGGCACCTAGTCCCCAAGCTGCTGCTATTGCTTCTTGAGTTGCTATTGGTCATACTTGCGTAGCACATTTCTTTGTGGTCTCCAGTGTACTTTGTGTGGCCACATCAGCTAGCTTTAACTAGAGAATAACCTTAATTTGAAAAGTGACTCCGCATCTGAACTGGCTTTCACTCTCCACAAAGAAGTACCAGAGGACTATCTGACCATTGAGCAAGCACCATCAATCCTTCTCCAGAAAGCAAATCAGACAAGAGACCAGGTACTCTTAATTACAAAATGTTAGATCCAGATCTTTTCTCCTTGATCTATGAAACTTTTTAGATTTTCTCAAAACTGATATCAGTGGGTAAAATAAAAATACCCAAGTCATTGTAGAGGTTGCCCAAAGTCCTTTCTCTAAAGCATTTAAATATCCATAAATGAAGCATAAATTAGTCACTCTTATTCCCTAACTTGCTGTGGGAGTCTCTGCAAACACTACAGCGAGCAGAATCTCTCAGTGAGTGGAAAAGAAAGTCTGATTAAACGTGACTCAGTAGGCAGTGCTAGTTCAAACTTCCAAAATTTGACACTGGGCAGTTTATTTTTAGACGTATGTAAGTATAGCACAATTTGGAAAAATATTTTCTCATGATAATTAACCTAATCCCATGTATACAATAATGCTTAAGACATGATTGCATTGAACCTCTTGTAAAAATACAGGTGAAAGATAGGTTTATATATAGTAACTAAGGAAGCAGATTCAAGGTAAACATTGCTCATGATAAGGGCTCTGGGAGGAAAGCACTGTAGATTGACTGAGATAAACATAAATCTGGGGGAACTAGTGTTGCCTGGCCATACAGATAGTACAGATGTCATTAGGCTACTAAGCACATCTGTTCTCAGCATTCTGGCCAAAAACAAAACAAAACGAAATGAAAACAAGTTATGTACCTCCCTTTGAAATGACAACTAGGAGTGCTAAGCATTTCTGGTCCCCCTAGTGCTTGTCTGTAAGCACAAGGACCTACGTGCTTCTTACAGCTTGTGACCCTGATGGCAGAAGTCTTTGCCCTTGGTGAGGGAAAAGAGTGGGGACCAGGACTGTAAGTAGGAATGATAATCATTTACATACCATATATTAGTTACTTTCCTGTTGCTATGATAAAACACTATGACCACAATTGATTAGGGAAGTGTCTTAATTAACGTTACCATTACTGTGATAAGGAATCATAACTAAAATTAATTGGGGAGAAAACGGTTTGTTTTTGCTTTCAAATTGCTATTCATCATTGAAGGAAGTCAGCACAGGAACTCAAACAGCTGGGGCTGTTCTTAGTGGTCATCCCATGGTACTGGCATCTCCAAAATGCTAGGGTCTTTTGCTGCACCTGGGCTGCACTTCAACAATACCCTCCCATAGGCTCTCTTCATAGTGCCAAGCCTCAAATTCTGGGTCTTCAACTGCAACTGAGGATGCACCTTTACTAATGGCCTCTCACAATGCTAAAACTCAGGTGCTCTCGGTGACCTCCTCATGCTTTCAAAACTAGTACCACCTGGGTGACTCTTAGGCATTACCAAGCTCAGTTGCCAACCTAGGCCACCTCTAGAACACAGCTTCTGTGTTCTCTCAGGAACCACTTCCTAGAAGACTTCATCTCAGTGATGCTGATCTCTTCTTAATCCCCACTGATTCTTCATCACAGCTGACCAGCAACGGTTGTCGCAGCAAGGAAAAGGTTTTACTTTAGTAGTTCTGGTCTCTTGTTAGTCACAGCCAATTATTCAGCTCCAGCTGATAAGCCACCACAGATCCTTCATACAAATGACCTGATAGAGGCTTTATTTCCCTATGTCACGTCACAAACCAGGGCTTCATCATCTGTACTGCTATCAACATTGATGTCTTCCAGAAGAGCTCACTGAGCTCTCAACGTTCAATGACTTTTCCAGCTCAAAGTTCCAAAGTCTCTCCACAATCCTCCCAAAACAGCATGATCTTGTCTGTCACAGCAGTACCCCACTATCCTGATACCAACTTCTGTCTTAGAGTTGGGAATGCTGTGATAAAACACCATGACCAAAAACAACTTGGGGAGGACTGGATTTATTTATCTTATGCTTCCACATCACTGTTAATCACTGGAGGCAGTTAGCACAGGAACTCAGACAGGGCAGGATTGCGGAGTCAGGAATTAATGCAGAATCCATGGAAGAGTGTTGCTTACTGGCTTGTTCTCCATGGCTTGCTTAGCCTGCTTTCTCATAGAACCCAGGACCGCTTGCCCGGGGTCCACATACAATAAACTGGGTCCTTCCATACCAATTAACAAAGTTGTCTATAGGCTTTCCTGCAGCCTGATTTTATGGAAGCATTTTCTTGATTAAGGCTTCCATCTCTCTAATGACTCTAGCTTGTGTCAAGTTGACTAACACTAGGAAGCACAAGAAGAAAGACTTTATTGGGCTTATAGTTCCAGAAGATGAGTCCATAATGGTAAGTGAACCATACCAAGAGGTGGCGGGAGCAGAAATCTGAGAGATCATATCTTAACCATAAACATGTAACAGAAAATATTCTGGAAGTAGAGTGTGTCTATAAACCCACAAAGCCCATCCGCAATGAAGTACTTCCTCCAGAAAGATTCCTCCACCTAAATATTCCATGTTCTACTCAAACAGTACCACCAACTGGAACCAAATGTTCAGCTACCTGACTCCATAAGGGAAACTTATTCAAACCACCACTCCCCCAAGATGGGATCCAGAATCAGAACAACAGACTTTTGAAAGCAAAGAACAGCCAAATTATGATCCCAGAGACAGTAAGTGTGGCTGCAAGTTTCTGGTCTTTCCGTAATATCACCTACTGTAATGATAATCCAAAATACACCAAGTCTGGTGGCAATGCAGTCATTGAAACGAAATCTAGAACAATGGTGATCCAAACGGTCCATAAATAGGAACTAATTTCAAAGGAGCTGGAGCCCAAGTGTGTTAGACTTTGGAAGCTTCTAACCTTTCGGAAAGGGACACAGATGTGAGTCATGCATGTGCTTGAAAACAGTTAAATTCTTAGCAAAGTAAGTACACAAGGTGGTCAATGTGCCCCCAGTTGCTCCAGCTCCTTTCCATGCAGGTAGCCTGCAGCATGAATCTATTAGTGCCTTTGACAATATAAATCCTGAAAACTTCCTCTGAAGTGTGCTATGGCAGAGGTGGGGCAAAAAAAAAAAGACAATGGAGATATTCAGCTCCATGGTCCAAGATTGCATCTGCTTTATGCTGTTCATAGAGAACATCAGAGCGGCTGCCTAGTGCTGCTTCTGTGGTGACAAATCACGCCCGCAGCAAGAATAGGTGGAAATTCCCAGTCTTCCCAGCATCGAGTTCTCCATTGAACCCTCCTACACAGTTCTGATGTGGATTATCTGCAATGTTAACTGAAGCATGTACAAGCAGGCCCAGCTTCTAACAATAGACAGAAACATATAGAATTATTTAGGTAATGAGTAAAACAAACAGTAAGGAAGTAATAAAGAGACTGAGAAGAGAAGGGGAGGTACCCTTTCTGATTTTTGGATGCAAACACACTGTGCTATTCTACTGATTGGCTCTGCTTATTTTTATATGCATGAGTATTTTTTATTGAGTACATTAAGGATATGTACCAGGCTATAGGGTGTGTCATATTGCACTATCCTTGTGATGTATGGTGATTGTCCATAGCCTTGAAAATATTACTAATAGCCAGATGGGCAGGTGGATTGGGCCAACAGAAAAAGAAATAATAAAAATCAGAGAGCCTGGAAGTCATACTGCATTTGATTCATACTCAGAACCCATGTCTTCCAGAAAAAAAAAAGAAGTTGACATCATGTAAATTATGAGTAATTTTTCTGTACAACTTATTTAATATGAATTGAATTTGAGCTTAACTTTTTATCTAAACATGTCATTGCAACACAGTTCTCTCTTAGAAAGTTTAGAAAGAAAACAGATTAATAAAATGTAGGAAAAGGGAATTTTGCAATGAATTTCTTAAAAATAAATACCCCAGTGGAGACACCTACTTTAAACCAGTTGTTATTTAGATTCAAGTCACTTTACTAATTTTAAATTTTCCAAATTCTCTTGCCTCAGACTAGGTAGGAGGAAGTGAGATGAGTGAGAATATTTAGGGCAATTTTGAGGCCCTTATTTTAAATAGACTTTAAAATAGAACAGGAAACATAATGCTACAATTCTATTCAATGACTATGAACACTATTATTTCTTTTTTATTATTATTTTTATTGAGCTCTACATTTTTCTCTGCTCCCCTTCTTCCGTCTCCCCTCCCTTCCATCCTCTCCCAATGTCCCCATGATCCCAGTTTACTCAGATCTTGTCTCTTGCAACTTTCCATGTAGATTAGATCTATGTATGTCTCTCTTAGGGTCCTCATTGTTGTCTAGGTTCTCTTGGATTGTGATTTGTGGGCTGGTGTTCTTTGCTTTATGCTTAAAAACCACTTATGAGTCAGTACATGTGATAATTGTCTTTCTGGGTCTGGGTTACCTTACTCAAAATGATGTTTTCTAGCTCCATCCATTTGCCTGAAAAATTTAAGATGTCATTATTTTTTCCTGCTGTGTAGTACTCCGTGTAAAATGTACCACATTTTCATTATCCATTCTTTGGACAAAGGACATTTAGGTTGTTTCCAGGTTCTGGTTATGACAAACAATGCTGCTATGAACACAGTTGAGTGCATGTCCTTGTAGCACAATTGAGCATCCTTTGAGTATATATCCAAAAGTGGTATTGGGTCTTGATGAAGGTTGTTTCCTAATTTTCTGAGAAACTGCCGATTCTGTTTGTGTCTTAGATGGTTCAGAAGACTGTAGAAAACTTAGACATAAAAACAAGGAGCAGAACTTTTCCAAAATGGGAAGAGAAGCACAATAAAAGGGAAAATAGTGTACCCTATTTAATATGTTCTATCACCATTTATGCAATTTCACTCTACTCCAATATATCTCCAGTATGTAAATATAAAAATGAATTAGGAACTGGAGTCTTGGAAATATTCACTTTCAATATTTTATGAAAGAATAGTACCTCTATTATTTTTGTAAAGTATTTATTGTCATTAGGTATTGAATCTTAAGAGGTAGGGTAGAATGTAAGGATAAATAACTGTTAGTTTTCATAGAACTTTTTACCTTGCAAACTCTAGCAGAGAAGAATATATAAAAAACATAATAAAATATGAAAAAGTATGGTAAAAATAGAAATTAGTATAATCAACTACTTACAACAGCACTGAGCAAATGCTGCTTTGTAAAAGTATTTCCAACACTAAAGTTAAATAAATCATAAAGTCACAAAACATTATTAATGAAAATGACTATATAATGTTCACCATGAAAATTGTTCCTTATTATTAATTACCCATAATGATAGTTATATGTATTTGTCTGGATTTCATTTTTCTTTACAGGAACTTCATTCTCCAACAGTGAAAGTTACTACGTATCCACAAACTACCATTAGGAGATACATAGTACAAAACCCTGAACAGGTAAGGTGTCATGTGATCTCTTTTTCCAGTGGGTGAGTCAGTTACTAGATCCTTAAACGCAGATTGCTGGCCTATCTTCCAGTTAAAAAGTGCACTTCTAATCATTAATATAAAACTCCATTTTTAGTTTCAGGGTGCCATGCACCGTTCTGTTCTGATATAGCAATGAAAAAGTTCCAAACAGCTTGGCTGTTATAATACTTTCTTTTCTATAGCCCCACCCTGGCAGTGCAAGGGACTTTGGTGCACTTTGAACCATAGAGAAAAGGAACAAAGGTCTTCACAGGCTTCCCATAAAATCTACCAACCACAACACTGGGAGCTGGAAGGTTTAGTGTATTTGCATTTGACTTTCACCTGTGGACTAGGAAGAAGATTAAAAGTCAAAAGCTCAAAAAATGTTTTCATGTGCTTGTAGCCTCTGATGTGTGAATTATGTACTTAGTAATGAGATATTTAGAAATTTACATTATTATATTTTTAACTAAGATATATAATCGTATGTTTTACAAAGTACATAGTTTCCTCTGTCTAATTTGAGAAGAAAATTAAGACAGCATTTTTCCATGATAATAAACCTTCCTTGAGTACACACACACACACACACACACACACATATACATGCACACATTCATCTTCTAGTGGCAACGGAACATTTTGGCCTCTTAAGGCTTCAACCTCCCTATAGGAAACACTGGGGTATGAATAGAGACAAGACATTTTTCCCTTTACTCTTCATTTCTCCATTAGAAAGAGAAGAAATCTTTCCTAATCTAGATGGTGTAGAGGATGTACTTCTGCTACTATTCCACCTCTTTTTTTTTAAATTTACTTATTAAAATCATGTTCTTGAGTCTCCTTAATTAAGGAATCTGCTAGTTGTGCATGTGTGTTTGTGTGAATTTGCGAACACACAGGATCTGAATAAGGTGATGATTACTTTGGATATTTGCTTGAGTTTTCATAAATTTGTGTAAACATAGAAGAAGGACGTGATTATAATTAAAGCAGTTGCCTGCTCCTTCCTTTGCATAATAAAATAGTTAAGCAACAAGTCTGGAAACAGGGGCAAGGTGGCTGGACTAGGTGCATTAAGGAGACCCTCAGTGGGGTCTCCCTAACCTTCGTCCCTCTACTGCTCACTTCCCAATCCTGCGATTGGAGTAGAGTGCATACTAGGTGACTATACCCTAATATATTGGCTTCTTAAAAAGACAGAATTTCTAGTATGTTCTGTACTTATACACATCTAATCTGCTTTTTTAGCCAAATGTTTCATGTTCTTCTACTTACGTAGGTATTTATTCTTGTATATGGTAATATGATGTATATGTATGTTTATGTTTACCTATGTATGTAAGTACATGTGGAGATCAGAAGTTAGCATCATGTGTCCTCTTCAATCACGGTGTGCCTTTCTTTTCTTGCTGAACCTGGAACTCATAGGTAAGGCTAGCCTGCCTGGTCAGTAAGCTCCAGGTATCTACTTGTTTTTCCTTCCCCAAGGCTAAGTTGTTAGATATGATACCATGAACAGACTTTTCTGAATGCCAAGTATCCAAACTCTGGTTTTCATGCTTACACAACAAGCACTTTATCAACCAAGTCATCTCCCAAGCCTGAAGCACATATTCTTTAAAATGTATTTTTCTTATTCTTGAGGAATAAGTTCTTAAGTGCTACAGGAACATTGAGTTACAAAGTGATGAAGTTGGAAATGGACTTGAATAATGCATAAGAAAAATAACAGTGAAGAACAACTCATAATAGACCTTAAATGATTATCCAATAAATTATGTAATTACATATTTACTTTTACACCATGTTGTTTAAAAAGCAGCAAAATTTGACATGTGTGTATAAGTAAGGGCATATTAAGAACATTGGGCTTGTTCCTTTAAGAACTCGTTATCTCAGACCATGCTGAACTGCAAACATTTCCTCAGGAAAATTTAACAGAACAGTGGAGAAAATTGGTCCTTTTAAAGATTTTGAACTCTGCCTTTTATTGAGCAATAAAACAAAATTCAAGCCACTTTCTTTGTAAACTAAAATAACGCGAATTGGTTTTGCAAAATAGCTTTAACACTCTGTCCGTGTGTGTGTGTGTGTGTGTGTGTATTCCTATTTTCTTTTTTAGGTATATTTCTTTTGTATTTTTCACTTTTAAATCTCTCCAGGAGAAGATTTAGTTTAATTTCAATGTTGATAATAAATTGAGGCTCTTAAATGGTAACCTCATCCTCTTTCACCTCCTAGTTTTTCCAAATTTTATTCCTTGTTTTTGGAATTAAAATAATCCCAAACAACTTGTCTAGTTATGATTCTTTCTGTCTCTTTTCAGACCTTTTATTTGTGGTTGCTTCTGATTTTCCTTATCCTCAATTTGTCATTATAATCATAGGATTTATATATACTGACTTACATTTTATCTAAAAATGAAGAAAACGCATTCATTTCATTAGTGGGTGAAATCTAATGATATTTATCAGTTTTTTGAAGTTTCTCATTGTGATAATCCTGATATGGAGAAGATATGTTATAGCAGTGGTCCTCAACCTTCCTAATGCGGTGACCTTTAACACAGTTCTGTACTGCTGTGTGTGTCTGCATGTGGGTGGACCCACATGGACATGAAAGAGAAGGAGTCTCAGTTCCTAAGACCACCAGAAATATGTGTTTTTCTGATAATACGAGGTGTCCCTGTAGCAGTCATGACCCACAGGTTGAGAACTACTGTTCTATAGCCTTCAACTAGGAATAAGGAAATAAGGCATTTTTTTTTTTTAAAAAGTGCTTACATTTTCTTTTAGTGTAGGAAGTAAGGCATGTCCACAAATGACTGTGTAAAATCCTTTGGAAAATGCATGGTGTGAGTGATAGATACCAGTAGAGAAATGCAAATTATCTTAGTTACTTTTCTGATGACATGACAAGATACCATGCGGATCTAGGCAACCTATAAAATAAAGCCTCTGATTTGAGGCTTGCTTACAGTGTTAGATGGTGAGTTCATAACCATCATGGCAGGGATCATGGCAACAGCAGGCAGGCAGAGTTTTGGAGCAGTAGCTGAGAGCCTACTACTGGGCGGGTTCTTGCACTGAGGGTCACTACCATTATTACATTTCTCCATATCTTTTATCACAGACTAAAGCTTCAATGTTAATATCCTAGTGTTCCTTTTTTCCTCGAACTGTACATTTTGTATTTTTTTTGCCCTGCTTGCTTTTTTTTTCATTGTAGATCAGCATAGTAGTGATCACTCATAGCCACATGACACAGGCAATATTTGGCAATACCTGAAATCTTCACTCCCAGCAAAACTAGTCTGACACTCTTCAGTTTTCCTTCCAGCAGGCAGATTCTTAGCATAAGGACAAAAGGCAACTACATTCTTTGTGAAAATATTCTAAGAATTGTTGTTAGCCTCGTTGTTAATACCGTTTACCTCTGAAACCAGAGGATATGGGCAAAATACGAAACAGTATGGTTAGACATGTCACAGCAATAGCCCACACACTGGTACTGACTCTTGTCTTAGTTCCCTTTCTATTGCCGTGATAAAACACTATGACCAAGGCAACATTGAAAGAAAGACTTTAATTTGGTGGTTTATGATTCCAAAGGGTGAGTCCATAGCCATAGTGCCAGGAAGTATGACAACAGGCAGACAGCTATAGCACAGGAGGAGTAGGTGAGAACATACAACTCATCCACAAGCACTAGGCAAGAGAGGGAAAGGGAGAGAGAGAGAGAGAGAGAGAGAGAGAGAGAGAGAGAGAGAGAGAGAGAGAGAGAGAGAGAGAGAGAGAGAATGATAAGGAGTGGTGTGGGTTTCTGAAACCTTCAAGCCCTTCCCCAGTGACACACTTCCTCTAACAAGGTCACATGTCCAATCCTTCTCAAAGAGTTCCACTAGCTGGAGACCAAGTATTAAAACAGATGGGTCTATGGGAGCTATGCTCATTCAAACCACTACATTGCAGTTTGACTTCAGATAACACATTTGGTATTTGTGGAAAATTAAATAAATATTTGTTTTGACATGTAATATATTGATACAATTTACAAGATATTAGAATCATTATATATAAGGAAACAAATTAAATATATGTACTTTGTCCAGGTCTTCACAAATTCTTCTCCTTTCTGACAGCTAATCTGTGTTACGGGGGCTGACAGAAGAAAAATTAAATGTGAGCCTAAAGGCCTGATAGGTGGGGATATTGGGTTATGGTGGCCAATAGAAAAGATTAAGAAGAGATGAGGAGAATTTGGTTTATTAAAGGGGAATACCATAAGATCTGCTTGAGCCAGTGGGATGTGAGGTGCTTAATAGAGAGGGTACCTAGTGAATATTCAAAATGACACAGCTAAATGTCACATTGGAGATACAAATAAGAGGGTTGGTATCTAAAGTTTACTGGCAATAACAAAGGCATGGGTGTGATTGCTGTGGGGTAGAGAGGCCAGAACTGGAGAAATATCCACTTCAAGGGAACAGAAAGAAGAACTCACTGTCACAGCAAATGTCTTCTCAGAGAAGGTTGTTAAAACAGTAACAAGTAAATAGAACAAATTGAGTAACCATGTCAAGTAAACATAAAGCTAAAGACAATAAATATGGGGATGAACTTTGACAGTTAAGAAAGTGACAGTGATATTTAAAACAGCAGTTTCAATATGCTCATTGGAGCAAGATCCAGATTCAGGAAGCTAATGGATATACTTCTCAAAGGGAAGTGGAGGAAGTTAAGTATGGGGATGCCTTTCTGAAAAGGATATTGGTCAAAGGCAAAAGAAAAGGTATCACTAGAAGAGAAAGCTAAATCTTGGAAACCCTGGAAGATTTGTAGATAGAATGAATCAGTAAGGTGAGTGAAGAGTGATGCAACAGAGTAAAAAGGCAAATGCGGAGAGATTCTGAAGGAGAAAAGAGGGATACAATTCAGATGCACATCGAGACACAACTTTAGGGAAACAAAGGAATGAATTACTCTTTGATGAGCTGGAAAGGACAGAAAGTAAAGGGCAGTTTTTTGAAGTGTAAAGAAACATGGTGGGATGACATTAACTACATTAATTTGATTTCTTCTAGAAGGAAAGGGCTAAGGGAACATGAGGACAGGGTTATGGAAAGATAAAAGGCTTTCAAACCACAGTTATGCTACTTGATTAATCCAAGTGTGATCATAAAGCTTGGAAGCAATGCGTAAAACTGAATAACTTGAACTTGTAATGAACCAATTTTTATTTTCGTTTTAAGAAATGTTTCTCTATTATAGCCTTGTGGCCTGGGAACAGTGTGATAGATGTTGGGAATTACATACTTTGTTAAATGTGAGAACTACTGCTGGAGGTTTTGAAAGTAACAATTAAAGTTATAACATCAACCATTTTGAAAACACCTGCTAATTTTTAGGGTGGATTTGGCACCAAATCAAATGTAGATACCAAAGCAAAGAAGATACCAAAGCATTAAAACTGTTGAGCTCCTCGGCTGTTAAGAACTCCACAATTTCCAATTTAAGGTTTTTAGCTGATTTGTTTTTCTAGAGTAATTATCCATATAAATATTTTTTTACAATCTTATAAATTTGGATAATTTATAATCTAAATTTGGGTGCATTTTTTATTGTCATTTCAACAGGAAAATCAAAATATACTCTAAAGAGCATCAGTAGTTTATAAATCTTAGCTTTTTTCTTCATGAAAATCACTAATAAAGATTTAAAATAAGCTACATTTCATAGAGAAGATAATCTTACATTTGTTTTCCTCTTTATGAAAATTTTAAATCAACAAGGTAAGAGTTACTGCGCTTCTCATTCAGTCATCGGTTTATCTACTATCAAAAATGCAGAGTCAATACTTTCTTTAGCTTTAAAACAGTCTATTTTGTATAATTCAAATTATTGTCCTAGAAATTTATAACAAAATTTTCAAAAACATTTTTAATATATTAAAATATGAAACTGTATATTAAAAACCAATGTACAAAAAAGTTAAGATTGATAGTACCTTAAAATATATTGTATCACTTGATCTAGAATACCCCATATATTTTATCCTTGTGATAAGCACACTAAACTTCAGAGAAAGTTAATGCCTTTCTTACCTAGGTATCCACTGCATACAGATGATGAAGAAAGAGCTGTTAACTCTTATTTCATGACACTATACCTTTTCTTTCCAGTAAACCTGCTTCCACTGATTTTTAAAGTCAGAGTCAATGGATTCACAACAGCTATAATCTAATCTGCTTTGCGATTCTCATCTGTTGATACCTCTGGAGCATTTTTGTGTTCAGTTATTTTTTGATCTTCCCTTATTTTTTGAGCAATTGTGTGATTATAAGCATCACTTCTAATTTGTTCATTGAGAAATCTGGATCTGGGGACTTGAGCTGCAGAATTTTTTTCCTTCTTAACAATCAGTCTTTTAGCCCAGTTAGTCTAAGACCTAAGAGTAATTGCTGTGTTTTCCAAACAACAATCTCTGCTGTATATTAGCAATTTCATCTACTATAAGTACATTCAAAACAAATGAACACAGTTTTGTTTTTTGATGAATCAATGAATAAAACAACCTCACAACTCAAATTAAACTCAAAAGAAGGGAGAAACTGGATGTGGTGGCACTCACCTTTAGTTCCCTTGTACTTGGAGGCAGAGGTAAGCAGAAATTTGAGTTTTAGGCCAGCAAGATCTGCATAGAGAGTACCATGGCAGCCAGGGCTGTAGAAAGATCCTTTCTCAAAAGTAAAGAGAAGAAAAAAGAATGTGATGCAAATTACATTTATTTTGGACTCCTCGTCTGATTCTTTATTAGTCTTTCGATCTAAAATATATCACAGGCCTTTATTTCATTGAGTAACATCTTTTAAGCACTTGGCTAATACTATAGCAATTTAGTTGATTATACAGGTACAGTGACTCTTAAAGCTTCTGCTCTCAGTTCTCAAAACATATGTTGTACTGAGAATTGTAGCCTTGATTATCATCAGAAATAGGAATTGTACACTTCAATGACATGTGAGTTGCATCCTAAGAAAATACTTTAATGCAGTTCTACCTACTTTATGGTTTAGTAAAATTGATCTATATTAATTCTAAATTTCTCTAGTAATTCCTTTGTGTAGGAAGAAACCTGCCTATGACCCTAGTTTAAATGATATCGACCTCATGCTAGACTAATTTAGAAGAAACTTTTATTGTGTCCTGCCTTAGAGTCAATGGATTCACAGAAGCTCAGACCCAATCTGCTTTGTACTTTTTACTCATTTCTCATTCAGAGAAACAAATGTTATTCTTCCTACATCCTTCAAATCTCCCACAGAGAACTAGAAAAAATAAGGAAATCAAAATGTTCTCATTGATAATGGACTGTTTTCTAAAATGATTTTTTTTTCTCCTGGAAGAAATTTATTGATGAATCATTCCATTACTTTCCTAAAATCTGCTACTTCAGAGCTTATAGATACTAGGTATTTGTTGGAGTTCCTATGAAAACTACACTTTTCAAATCAAAACATGTTATTTAATCTCTTATTAGGAACCATTGTCTCCTTTCCTAAGAGGTGGCCACTTCTTCCCAGGAAACAATGTAATTTATGAAAAAACAATAAGAAAAGTGGAAAAGCTAAATACAGATCAGGTAAGTAATAATTGTTTTAGAACTTGCTCTACAAGTATAAGTTTTGAATTATGAATATTATAATAGAACTGAAATAATACTAAATTATCAAATACCAAGCAATACCACTGTGAGTTATCCTGTGTCATCATGTCTACAATTCTTCATGCTATCCTTAATATTTTTATAATTATTTTATTGTGAAGCACATTTTACTGAAAGGGAACCTGAAGTCACATAAAAAGCTAATCTTAGAAACTGAGCTTAATAAGTATTATGTGTTTTATTTTAAACTAGATTACAAAAAAGAATTTTAAAGGCTACAATATTATATTCATTATTTTGGTATGTTCATATTTAAATGAACAGTATATAATAATAGATAAGTAAAATTTCTGAAAGATACAGAAAACTGAAAGTTTAAGTAAACATTTTAGTTCAGCACTTTGAAAAAAAAATTGTATTGTCTCAAATTCTATAAAGCAGAAATCAAAAATTACTGTATAGGATAAGACCACCATCCTCCTGGAACTCTGAGGGAAGGAACCCTTTTTGTTAGTTTAGCTTGCGGCAGCTGCAGGCATTCTTTTGATTGCATAATAGCACCCCAACCCCCCTGTTATCACATGGTGCCCTACATGTGCATCTCCACATTAGTGTCCCATTCTGCCTGGCTGGCTGTCAAATTTCCCAATTTTATGAAGACATTGGTCATATTGAATTAAACCCCACTCTAGTAATTGCGTATTGCTGGGACTTAGAACATCACCATAAATTTGGAGTATGGGTAACAACTCAGTATATAATAGGCAATTAAATATTATAAAATCAGTGTGGATAACAAAATCACTTTTTCATTTATAAGTAAAACACACTGAAAATGTATTGGGTTTTGTTTTTAAACTTCTTGGAATGAGAACACACTCTATTTTTATAAACACTTATTGGCAGTTCTTAGTAGACTTGTAAGAAATAACATGCTATTCCTTATTTTATGTCCAGTAAAAATGAAATGACATAAAATTTCAGAATGATAATCATCAAAATGTCTACTTTTTGATTTACTTGTTAAACTGAATAGTGTCTAACAAAGCATTCCAGAAATAAGAGACCAAAATTATGATATTGAGTAAAAAAATAATCACTGAGTGTTTCTGATCTTCCAAATGATGTTTTTCTAAACCTAGCAACATACATTTATATTTATTCAAATTGTCCGTCAAAAATGATGCTTCACACGTTTTAAGAAGTAAGAAATGTTTGGGGTACATCATTTAGTGCTGCTTTCAGGTTATCGTTTTAATGAGAATGAATTGTTTTTCTGTTGTATATCCTCTAGAATACAATGTTGACTGTTCTGTACACTGTCATTCCGCTCATGCAGGTGAAACAATTAAGATATTTTAAGAACACTGCTTTTGCTTATTGTTGATATCAATGCTTGACTGTTCTTACCTTTTATCACTAATAATTTCAATGATTTGCAAGTTGTAGAACTGCTACGTAAGCTGTCCAAATTAAAATTACCTGTGCAAGTATAAGTTTTGTTCTGTTGTTTCCTCAGTGATAGGGACTATACCATGACATGCTGAACAAAGCTTAGGTCCAAACAAAACCATTTATTGGCACTTGTAACTGAATCAAATACAACCAGTTACTGAAATTAGACCTGTCCAATAAAAAGGAGGCTTTTGTAGTAAAAAGTTGGTCAAATAGTACCACTTACAAGATCCTTTCAAAATATTTGTATTTTATGTTATTCTTTTTCCCCTCTATCTAAAGAAATCACCTTTGACAGTTAACAATAATTTGATATTTTGTGCTTTTAAGTTTAGATTATGATATATTTCAAAATATGATGTCTATATGAATATTTTTCTTTAAAGTGATAACTTTGATAGTTGACTCTAAGAACTGGTGCTGTAAAGCACGTGAGCCTATGAAACTCTGGCTTCTATCTTAACGCCAGGACTGATAACAATAAACACATTTTTAAGGTGACATTTTATAGCATAAAAGAACAGATAATATATTTATCTGTCAAATTTTTAAGCAAAGTTTATTAAAGCATATGGTTAGTTTTCTAAACTGTAAACATCTCAGTGCTATTGTACTTATAAAATGAGTCATATTTAAGTCTAGAGAAAGGAAAGCCAAGAACTGACTTTATGACTTTTAGTAATTGTTTTTATTGAGCTGTATATTTTCCTCCATTCTCCTCCCTTCCTCCCTATTTTATAACTACCAAGGCAGTTTCCATTCATAATATATGCCTCCTCATATATTTTTCTTCATTTCAAGATAATTTATGCAGCTAAAAAGCAATTCACATGGAGTAAAAAGTTTCAGAGTATAAAAAGAATATTAAAAAAGATGCAAATAATGGTACTTGACTTCTCTATCTGGGCCTTCATGTTTCTAGTTTTTACTTTTTTAGATAACCTCTCTTAGAAGTTTATTACTCTATTCATACAAAAGCTATATATATATATATTTATTTATTTATTTATAAAATCACATGTATGTATATGTGTGTGTGTGTGTGTGTGTGTGTAAAGTCTTACATTGTATAGATTAAAAGCACCAATTGGTGGTTTTCATTGTTGAAACATAAAAAGCCTCTTCTCCATTTTAATAAGCATGAGATCATTGCCTCCCCAACATGGATAAAAGCATGATTCCTGACACTGAAAATCACTCTATTGTATTATTTCCTAATTTTAAATTCTTTTGCATGTCCAACATCATAGATGTATTATGTAATTAGAAGCTACAGTGCCTGTTGAATTATCAAAGAAAGATTAATTATTATTCATAATAGTTTTAGGATTAAGTAAAACTTAAATATTAATTTAATTAGACATGTAATTCTATGGCATATCTAGGTAAGTAGTTTGGTGGTCATAGCTACTGATTAAATAAAAGCAAAATTCAATAAAATTTCTCAGTGTACAAATTAAATAATATATCACTAATTAAAATTACAATTCTACATCTTTATTTTATGAAACATACATTGTGGTTTTCAAATTTGTTTCAAATTTTTTCTTGGTTCATAGTAGTTCTGATTCTAGGTGGTTATTTTTTGACATGTATATGTGTTTTAGGAATGTTGTCCTCAAATTCAATGCCATCATCATGTCATTCAGCAACCCCAGATCATCCACTCTCCGCATTGTCAACAGTCCCATTCTAGCCATCAAATCCAATGCATAACAGAAAATGACTCAAATATTGGGCATGAACTCTGCCATGGTGGCTCAAGCCAGCTACATGAGCAGGTAAGAACAATCAACTGAATGCTTAGCAAAGGTCTTGAACATTTCTTACACAAGAATTCTAACAATCATAGTAAATTTCCATCCAAACACTGAGAAAATGTGCCAGTGGTATTTGTGTTTTTCTTAACTTTCTTCTTATTTACTATGTGTCTTTCACATCATGCATCTTGATTCTATTCATTTCCCCATCCCTTTGCACCTACCCTTCACCCCTGCAAACTCCCCCTCCCAATAAAACAAAATTTAAGAGAAAAGAAAGAAAAGACAAGAAATCTCATCATGAAAGCTGCAGTGTGACACAGTGAGTCATGCAGTAAAGCACTTTGTCCCTATATCTTTACTTGCAAATGTTCATTGCAGAGTCATTGGTCTGATTCGAGGCCTCTGGTTTCTACTACACTATCAATGTCAAGACCTCACTGGGACTCTTCTAGGATATCCTGTTGTTGTCCTGTGTTGTTGAGATCCTGAAACTTTGAGTCTGCGGATCAGGCCCCTTCACATGCTCCAGCAGATCATAGATGTAGTGGATGTTGGGGTGGGCCAAGACCTTAACCCTGGTTCTGGCCCTAGGAAGCTGCAGGTTTGGCCAACTATGAGTTCTCCTCTGTCCTCACCACCAGGGTGAACTCTCCACCCCTGGTATGTGTGTTTTTACAACATTTTAAGAACTATCCATACTCCTCTCAAAAGACAAAATAACTCAGGTTTATTAAATGTATGAATTTATGACTTGATTCATGAATATTTAATTATAACAAATAGCTGGTCCTTAGAAATGAGCCCAACTGTTGTTCAGTATTACACATTTTCATGAGATAGAATATTCAAATGAACAACAAGTTGCAAATGCTATCATCTGAGATGATTGTTAATGATATCATTTCACAAGCTGGTAATTAGTTGCTGTATATATTCTTTGAGAATACATTATTCTAATAAAAGTCAAAATATATTTTACTGCACATTATAACAAAATAGGAATCAAAACTTAGTTGCTAAGGAGAAGCCTCCCTGGATACAATCCTGAGTGACTAATTTATGTTGTGAAGTCATTGGAGTCTTGTAAATATCTGCTGCACAAGTGATAATAGGAAAAAAAGATTTTCTTCGATCTGGTAAAAACTAATGATAATGACTGCAGTAACGAAGAGTCAGACATTATTTGTACTTGCTCCAATTTCAAATTGACCTCTCTCATAGACAACTCTAAAGAGAAGATAAAATAATAAGAAAGAAAATTACTTAAAAAGAAAGTTAGCTTCCAATTCAAGAATTGGAACAAAAGAATTGTTTTATATTACATATACATGAGATTATTCCTGATGCTTTGAAATACACACTTTGGCCAGGTTGTTAAAAAATAACTAGAAATAATTTAAAATTCGCATTTTTCTAATATAAAAATGTCTAAAATTATCTTTCCTTTGTCTGCATGGAAACATTAGCCTCTAAAGTAGTGTGTGAAATGTCTTAAGTTACATGGATTTGTGATGACAAAAATAGCCAAGTTATTAGATTAAATCATTTGAAATTGCTATTTTATATTTCATAATTGATGAAATAGAAATGCCTCTGCATAGTGCAATTTAATCTTTAATTTCGCTTCGCCTTGGTTTCCTCTAATAAAGGAAAGTGGAAGCACCTAAAATTTAATGCAAAGCAAAATGTTTGCATCTTCCTTAAAAGTAACAAACAACACATTTCAGGAGAAAAGAAAGAAGAAATTACTTTCAACTGGGAGATCAAGGGTGTTTTCAGGAGGTGGGAATTGACTTTGAAATATGAGCAGTATTTCCACATTTAGTACCATGGTGTTACATGGAGACAATGGCCAAGGAAGAAAATAATCCTATGGATAATGTTACAGGTTTGGAGAAGTATATTTTGTGTTTCCAAATTAAGTTAATCATGGGCTGAGGAGACAGCTCCATTAGATTATAAAGCATTGACCATGCAAGCATGAGCACCTGAGTTCAGATTCCCAGAACTGTGAACCTCAGCAACAGTGTGCACATCTGTAATCCTGGTGGCAGGTAGGAGAATCCCTTGAAGCAGGTGGACCATGTAGATTGGTATATGTAGTGGCAAGCACGTAAATGATCCTTTCTCGAACACAGAGGAATACATGACCTTATATTTAGGTTGTGCATTGATGTCTAAATGCATGCATGCGGTGGCACATATGGGCCACATTCACACATATGAACACACATATGTATCACACACATGCAGACACACACACAGTAGAGAGAGAGAACAAACAAGAACAAGACTAGTCAGTTGTTTGATCTGAATAGAATGGAAGGTGCACAACAAGGGTGTACTAGGTTTAGGTTAAAGTATTAGCATGGTCCATATAGGCTATGTCATGAAGTCATAAAAGTTGAGACAAAAACAAGTGTAGACTATATAATGGATAGTTAGTAAAAAATATTAAATAGAAAAGTACCAATAAAAATACTACTTTAGGCTGGGAGATGGTGGTGCATACTTTTAATCACAGCACTTGGAAAGCAAAGGAAGGTGAATCTCTGTGAGTTCGAGGCCAGCCTGGTCTACAAGATCTAGTTCCAGGACAGGCTCCAAAACCACAGAGAACCTGTCTCAGAAAAGAAAAAAAACTACTGCATTAGAAGATTAACTATGGCAGCTTTGTGCCAAGTAGACTATCAAATTTTTTCATTTTCTTCTCATAATGATCATATTAGGAAAGTGGTGTTATTGTCTTTTTGTTAAAACTAAACTTTGAAGAGATTAAGTCACTTTTCTTAAACAAAAAACAATACAGCAATAAATCCTTCCCAAATAAAAAAAAATAAAAATAAAACAGCACTCAATACAGAAAATAAACCCACCAAACTGTAACAAAACAAAGACACACAAAAACTGTGGAGTTCACTATATGTTGGAGTTTGACCTATTTTTAAAATTTGTGTTTGAGATTGTAATTTGGATGTAGCATGGGAAAGAAAAAAGACACGAGCTTTCAATTCAGTTGCTTGAGTTGATAAAACATGATGCTACATGACCTCCAGCAGTAAACTTGAACAGGCTTCAATTTCCTCCTTTGGAACAGGGGATCATACTTTCATGTACACTGTATCCTACAAGAAGAAGGTTGAAATAAAATCTGTAAAGCACCCTGCTTACTGTCAACTCTCTAGCAGATTCTCAAATCAATGTTCAATCACTGAACTTTCTACTGCCTGTCTCGGACCTCAGATGTTTAAAGCATCACTGTCAGAAACTGGTTACATTGTAAAATAATTTTTGGCATTTATGGTTAAACTCAATCTGTTATATTATATATTATAATATATATGAACTCATAGAGAAAGTGACAGCATTCACAGGGACTGTATAGGTTTACTCCAGGTAGAGAATATCAATGCTGAGAGAAGACATGGACACAAGCTCCCATCCCTTACCCAGAAGCTGTGTCTGATTAATAACCATTCACAGATGAAAAAAATCAGTGTTCAGTCCTGCTGGTGATCCTGCATGGGACTGAACTAGACCCTCTGAATGTGGGTGACAATTACGTGGCTTCATCTGTTGTGGTGGTCTGGCAGTGAGCCAGGACATATCCTGGGTGCATAAACTGGCTTTTTGGAACCCATTTCCTATGGTGGGATACCTTGTTCAGCCTTGATAAAGGGGGAAGGGTTTGGTTCTGCTTCAACTTGGTATACCAGACCTTGTTGACCCCCCACCAAGGGAGGCCTTAGCTCCTTTGAGGAGTGGATGGGGGAGATGGGGGAAAGTGGGAGACAGGAGAAGGGTAGGGAGGGGGAACTGGGGCTGGTATGCAGAATTAAAAAAATGAAAGTAAAGGAAAAAATCAGTTTTCTAGATGGAAGTCTCAATGGGAATACAAGCCATTCATAAGTCCAGTCCCCATGCCAAACAGTAGATGGCTAACACAAAACAAACTCATTAGCATCTTTGGAGGTTCTTTGTTGAATAAGGCATTTTGACAGGGCATTTTCTTTTATTTCTTCTTCTATTTTTCACCTTATTTGTCCTTTGTGTATATTATGGCTTCTGGTTTTATGTTTTTAGGAGAGTCCTATGTGTACAAATAAGTGTTTCTCTTCATCAATGTGTATATCTCGTGCTTTTTCTTTAGCTTTTTTCTTCTGTTTGTTTTTGGTCCTATTCCAGTTTGTTAGGTTTTGTTTTACCCTACTTATTTTATGTCATTATTATTCTTTAGATGCCCGCTTGTTTTCTTTTTTTTTTTTTTCAGAAAGGGTGTGGATTCCGATGGGGGGAAACATGAAGGAATCTTAGAGGATGGAGGAGGGACAACCATGATCAGAATACTTTGTATGAAAAACACCTATTTTTAATAAGAGGAAAAATTATTTCACTCCTTTTGTATTCACTAGATCACTTAAAATTGAGTGAAATGATATTTAAAATACTATGTCAATATTGATTTTCCTTGCAATTGCTCCCCTACTAAGAAGAATATACACTACTGATACATAGAAAATTCAGTGACTTGATTCATGGGATGATTTTAATTGACTTTTATTCTTTGAATTTTCATATCAATATATCTGTGAACTTAGAAAAACAATATTGCTTATAATTGTAATTGATATTGCTTCAGGTGATAATTCAGGATGATGGCCCTGAAAAATTGGATCCCAAATATTTTGGAGAGTTGCTTGCTGACCTAAGCCGCAAGAATACAGACCTATATCACTGCTTATTAGAACATTTGGAGAGGATTGGAGGAAGGTACTGTAAATGCATTATTTGTCTTGATGTTGCAGTTGTCACATATTTTAGTACATTCTTGTAATTTTAAAAATAGATGTTTAAAGTTTTTTTATGTGCATGCATTGTGCCTCAATGAGTTAATGTGCACCACATGTGTTCAGGTGCCCACACAGTTCAGAGGGAGCTGGAGATCCTGGTATTTGAGTTACATGCAGCTGTGAGATCTCCAGCATTGCTCTATAAATGAAACTTGCGTCTTGTCAAAGAGCAGTATGTGGTTGCAACCACTGAGTATGTTTCTAGCCCTTAAAATAGACTTTCTGAAAGAGCAGGTTCAGGTTTACAGCAGAACGCTAGTGCTCTTAATGAGTAAATAGAATAATTATATGAAAAAACCGAACAAATTTTTCATTTTAAAATAGTCAAGGGGTTTAGAGAGATGGCTCAGAGGTTAAGACCAGTGGCTGCTCTTCCAGAGGTTCTGAGTTCAAATCCTAGCAACCACATGGTGGCTCACAACCATCTGTAATGAGACCTGTTGCCCTTTTCTGATGTGCAGGTGTATATGCAGGCAGATCACAGTATATAACATTTTTTTTTAAAAAAAAAAAAGGTAGTCAAGCTGATTGTGGTGGCTTCATACCTGTGATGGAAGCTTTCAGGAGGCTGAGACTGGAGGACAGCGTTCATTTTGATGCCATCCTGGACTACATAGCTTATCTTTCCAGCTGGTGCTATTTAGCAAGTATATGTCTCAAAAAAAAGTCAAAACCAAACAAATAAAGGAGAGTTGATGTGTTTTATGAAATTCGGCAAAGATATCATTAATTTTAGATCAGTTAAGAATTGTGTATGTTTTCTTTCGTAATGCACTTTGATGGCAAAACTACTACTTGGGAAAGAAAATAAGTAAAATGACTGACATATTAAAAAGACAAAAGATAACAAATGCTGGTGCAGATGTGGAGAAGAAGGAAATGAATATTGTGGTAATGTACACTAGTCGGTATGGGAAAGAATATGAAAGATTTTCAAAATGAAAACTAGAGCTACCATGTGATCCAGAAATCTGACTATTGGGTATACAATCAAATACAATGAAATGAGTATGTAAAAGACACACCTTCGCTTCCCTGTTCATGATACCAGGGAATGGAAACAACCTGATAATCTACCAGCATAAAAAAATAAATTCCTGTCATTTTTAACAATATAAATCGAATTGGAGAGAACTCTATTCAGTAAAATAACACAGCCGCATAAAGCAAGTGTCACATGACTTAGTTTGTGATCTTAAAAAATAATTTCATAGTGAGTGTGGAATGGCTATTGTCACAAGCTCAGTGCAGTAGAAGGTTCAAAGTGGAAATGTTACTCAATGTACACTAAATTACTGCTGAATAAGGACAAATTCTAGTGTGCTATTGCAGAGTGTTGACTATAGAAAATGATAAAGAACTTTAAGTTTCAAATCTAGAAGATTTTGAGTATTATCCTTATAAAGAAAATATGTTTGATAGAATAGAAATGTTTTATCTTTAAATATTATATTTTATACATTATAACCCACATACTGTATTGATTTACATAGTATATTGTCTGTAACATAAATTATGGAGGATTATATGTTTTTAAATAGAAAACTCTATATAATGTAATAGATAACATGCAGCTATATATTTTTAAATATATTTACCTTTTTATATGTACATGTGTGAGTCTGCATGGGTTTATATGCACCGTATTATTACAGATGCCTGCACAGAATAGTAGAATTTGAATTCTCTGGAATTGGAGGGAATCATTCATTTGTAGATGACAGCACATGGCCATTAAATGAATACCTAATGCTATCAAGTCAAAACATGAATTCAGAGTCATCTGGAAGATAAAGAAATGCCAATAGACTTTTTTAATTCAAAGTTTTCATTGGCTACATTCTTTAGCTTCTAAATCTTTATAATACAGAATTTATATGTCATATAAATATAGAGGGTATGACACAATTTTGTATACCTTTTAAGTTAAAGAAGGTAATATATTTTCCAAATCAATATTTATGTTTAGTGTCTTTAATATATTCTTTTAATCTTTTACCCATTTCTTTTCTATCAATTTTATCACCTTCCTACAATCATTTTCCCTAACTATTTTTGTTCCTAGGTAAGTATAATGCTCTCACTAGGGCTCTCTCTCACTTATCTATTTCTACTGCCATTCCTACTACTCACCTTCTACTGTCCACTCTCCATAGTATTTAGAAAGCTACATAAGGGCTATTTTATGTAGTTTGGGATTCATGAAGCTTAATGCAGGACTCAGTACCTGTTGACTAATCATTTACTTTCATTACTGTTTATTCATTTCAAATACATCAAAGTACAGCTAATTATTAAATTTATTCCCTTATAAATACATGAATTTTCTCTTTTGAGAGGTTTTGATCATTATACCTAATAACATCCTATCACATTACATGAACTACTCTCTTTCCTATGACCCAAAGAACTATCTCATGCATACAATTCTTTTTGCACAAGTTTTCTATGTTAATAATTTTATTCCCCTCAATGACCTATTCATTGAGTGACCAAAATGTGCCAGATATTGTACTGCTTATCTGTATTATAAAATTTCAAAACTAACCTCATAAAATTTCAGATGAAGGTCTAGGAGACATGTTATTAATTAAGATCACATAGCTACTGAGGGCTTGAGATATATTCAAATGTTTTTGAGTATTTTATTCTCTCATCTATAAAATATGACTCAGTTTTTCTGCAACACACTTCCTAGATCTTGATTAGGTCCAAATGAACCTCTTTTGGTCTTTATATTTTCTGCATTTTTCATTTTTCTCTATTCTCTTTCAATATTTCTAAACCAGTACCATATACATGCATGCAAACTTTGGTACATATATTAGGCATGCCTTAAGAATGGGAATGTACATTTTTCTTTTGCTGCAGTACCTTGTCTATTTTTATTAATGTATGAAAGAGGTTTTTAACACTGACCCACTTATCTCTATAAGCAACAATTTGCTTATAAGCAATTACACAAGGGATAAAGGTAGGGACTAATGTGCTAAAACTCTCTTACCTTAAAAATTATTTCTGTCTTGCTGCCAGAATATATACAACTGCTTTTCTGTTTATTTGACATGTTCACATACATGTTCATGCCTCATTATTCTACTATGTGCAGAAAAAGCAATTAGACAGAAATAAAGTTTGGTCTGTTGCCCTTGACAACACTGTAACTGTATTCTTCCAAATCTTCACAATTCCTACAGGAGGACATAGCAGACTGGTATAACCACTGACAATACCATAAGATTTGCCTTCATAATTTGGCTCCACAAACACTCTCTGAACCTCTGTCCAAATATTGATTTTTTTTGCTCAAAATTTTATTATCCAGCTAGAATTTTGATCAGTTTGCTTTGTTTGGTGTAGATTCATATACTGTTGTTACCTCATGGTTTCCTAGTATACATAGATTAAATGAATTGACCATATCTTTAAAGTTTATGTTTTGGTAAAATGGAATGAATAGTATCAAAATATCAATAGAGAGAAACTAAACTCAAAATTGAAAGTGAAAACCAGAGTGAGAAAAAGGAGGTAGAACTCGACAAAACCTGTAATTGTTTCATTCACCCAAGTACCATTTGCTGTCAAGCACTTCTACATCTGCTCTCAGATAGACTGGTAAAAATGGACAATGTCCTAACTAATTCTGCATATTTTGTTATTTATATGATACTCATTTTTAGTAGGTCAGATAGTTTCAGGAAAATTATTTTAGTCAAACTAAGTGAAAGTTCCATTTTTGATATTTAAATTATTTTATTTGTGATTCTAACTTAAGCCGGTACTATTATGATATACAAAATATAAAACAGATAGAGCAAACATTTTTATTTATAATTACTGAATCTATTGTTTGAAAGTTGTGTTTTTGTTATTCTTACAGCAAACAAGACTTTGAGTCTGCAGATGCAGTAAGTCCAAAAATCATTAAAATTAAATAGATAACAAAGTACATTGTGATTGTGATACCAATAATATCCTTTTATTTAGTGTGTTTATTAGACTGGAAACACAGGTTAGAAAAATAATGTTTATATCTTTGTAATGACTGCAAATATAATAATTACAAAGAATAGTTTTATGACTGTCACTAGAATTTAAGTTGTCATTGTTGAATGTACAATTAAAATTTACCTGATCACAAAACTGTATTTAGAAGACATAAATCTATACAGTAAAAATCAATTTCTTCTAATATGCTTGAAATTGTGTGTGACATCAACTTGAAGTGAAAAACCTTTAAGTATCAATTTCATTACATTGTAATTATGTAACAATTATTTTAAGTTATTAAGCAATCAAACAGAGTTTATTTTAACACAATAAAAAGAAAACTCACCTCTTGTGCATTATTTTTTTAATTTTATCATTATTTCCAGTATTAATCAC